GTACCGTACTGTATAGGCTATATACTGTATGTATTGATTAATTACAACACTGTATTGCACAGTAAAATGTAAAGTGAAAAAAACCGAGGTAAATTCATAGCCTACCGATATGAACTGCAATTTAATAGAAAGTTTTTTTCAGGAAACAATCCTATCTGCTAGAAAATCTTTTAACATGCATTGAACGAATCGTATCATGGTAACCCTAAAATGAAATAGCTAAAGCTACGTATCATACGTACAATTTTGTCGTATCGCCATCGTAAGATCGAAATATCGTAAGTCGGACAATCGTAACTCTTATTTCCCTCATTAAGATGCAAATCATTTTATAACATTTTTGACATGCGTTTTTCTGGATTTTTTTGTTGTTATTCTGTCTCTCACTGTTCAAATAAACCTACCATTAAAATTATAGACTGATCATTTCTTGGTCAGTGGGCAAACGTACAAAATCATCAGGGGATCAAATACTTTTTTCCCTCACTGTAGACTTGTCATTGGTCCTCGCTAAGTCTCTGAGACACAGCCATTATGAACCATCCGACAAGAGACAACTAGAGCCCATGATTTCAAACAAATCATGTCATTCATATGTCCTGGCAAAGTGTCTCAGACACGACCATTAACACATTCCTCCTGCGGAGGGAGCTGGTAGGAACGTTGGGTTGCTCGGTCAATGGCCTGCAGGGTCAACGGCGGCGTGGTGTATTCCGTAAATATGGCCGACTGTGAGGGGCGGGCACAAGCCGGCGTGAGTAGGTTACACGTTGAGTTTTATAAGGGCACCACGGGGTGACCAGCCCCTCCCCAACCAGCCCCACCCCTCCCACCCCCCACCCAGCCCCACCCTCCCTCCCCTCCGCACCCAGCCCCTCCCCACCCAGCCCCACCTCTCCCATTTTTGGATGCACGACGGACGGACACAATAATCCCCTGTGGGCTGGTGTAACCAGAAGGTTCCTACCAGTATGAGTCCTCTGACAGAGACACAACCAGAAGCAATGGCTTCAAATGTATAACATCTCTAAGTGTCTCTGACACGGCCACCATGAACCACCTTTCAAGACACATCCAGACCCCATGGTTTCAAGCGTACGATGTCATTCATCGGTCCTGTCTAAGCGTCTCAGACACGGCCATCACGAACCATCTGACACGAGATACAACCAGACACCCCCCCCGCCCCCCATGGCTTCAAACGTATGACGTCACCCGTCCTGGCTATTACGAATCCCATGACACACACACGCACGGAGAGGCACACAGAGACACAGAGAGACACAAAGAGACAGAGAGACACAGAGGGCGCTGGAACCCGGGACGTGAGTGTTGCTGCCTAAGTGTACACGGCACGGCCATTATGAACCGCTGCAGCAGCAGGAGGAGAGACGTTCATCCCTGGGGGCGCAAACCACGGACTTGCTGCCTCAGCGTCTCCGATGACGCGGCGATTGCGAGCGAACGTCCCCACCACCACCGCCATCACCACCACCACCGCCGCCGCCACCACCGCCGCCGCCACCACCACCGCCACCACCGCCGTCCGGGGTTACTCGGCAATTTGCCGTCGCGGGCGAGAGCTCGTTAGCAGCGGCGGCCAATCAGCAAGAGCTCCGACCAGAGGTCGCAACCGGGTACCCCCCGATACCCGTACCCTACCGGCTACCCGTACCCAGCCGGGTACGGGTACCCGTTTGCGACCCTGGTGCGGCCGGGTACGGGTAAGGAATCAAAACTCATTAATCTGGGTCCGCCCCCCCTCCCTCCCTGCCCCCCCTTGACCCCCCGCTCCCCCACGGCCCCCCACCCTCCGAAAACGGACGAGAGAAATTCCACTGCGCCACGGTATGACCACAACCACCACGACCGCCACCACCATCATCATCATCACAAAGACGAGACAAAGTTCCCCGCACCTCAGTATAGCCTTCAACAGGCTGTCGGGGCAAGTGCTGTCAGTAGCGAGTCGCAGCGCCTATAAAGGCCGACACAGCAGCACACACGATGTGCTGCCAGGTGGGTGGCCAGCACCATACCCACCCGACCACCTTTGTCTCCCCGGTGGCGATGTTTCTACACAGCGCCAGGTACTCATTTGAGGCTGAGTCGACCTAGGGGGAGGCCCAGGAATCGGTTCAAATAGTCGACACTGACGTTGGCCGTGAAACGGGATTGGAACTCGGCTTGCCGGGTTCGTAGTGCAGCGCAGCACTAAACGCTACCACCACCACTACTACTATAACCACAACAACCACCACAATTACCACTACAATCACCACCGTAATCACGACCACCGCAGACCAACAATCACCGTCAAATCCACCTCCTCAATTACCACCATCAGCATCACCGCCCTCCACCAGTTCCAAAATGAATGAAAAAAAATACATTTGTAACAATAGCAACAACAATCATGCCTCTTCTTGGTTCTTTCGGTAAAGTCACGTAGAAGGGAAGTAATAAAATAATAAAAATAAAACATAATAAAATAATTCTCACCACGTTTCGGCCACAACGCAAGCAGCCGTCCTCAGGTGAAGAATGTATGTTTTATTTTTATTATTTTATTATTTCCCTTCTACGTGACTTTACCGAAAGAACCAAGAAGATGAATCCCTGCAGTCACGAAAGCTTTAAATCGAAACAATCATGCCCTCTCTTCGCTAGCTGTCCTGAATAGGTGGTATGGGTGGTGGCACGGAAGATATTACAGGATTCTGTTACTGCGACAATAAACTCAAAACTAAACGATAAACTAGTTTGATTTTGATTTGAAGCTTTCGTGACTGCAGGAATCCATACTCTTTGGTTCTTTCGGTAAAATCACGTAGGTCGTAGAAAATCTCTTACATTAAAAGAGCCACTTCCGTACCCAGTTACATGCTAATTTCTCACATTAACATCACTAGACCCAGCCACTCCTTTATAACCCTTGGGCGACACCCATTTCAAACCTTTTAAAAGTCTGCATCAGCAGCAGGCCGCGCTATCCCACCTGTTGACGGACGCTTGTGTTGCGCCCAAAATGTCGTGATTTCTTTTATTTTTATTAAATCCTTTATATTAAGTTCACTTGCTTGCTTGCTTACGACCGTGCAAATCTTTCGGTCGTTTTTTAACCCACTTCCCGTGATCCAATCGAGCTGACATTTTGCACACAGACTCGTTGTGCGTGACAATGTATTTTCGTGAAAATTTTTGTTCCAAAATTGTACACTTTTTAGGAAAAAATAAATTATATTTAATTACCAATTGCTTAATGGTGGCAGGCATTCATCTGACCCATAGGTGGCAGCCATCTCAAGCCAGAGGACGAGAGGACTCTAGCCGCCACTGCATATAAAGGATTTATAGTGAAAAACTTTGTTTTTACGGGTTAATTTTACCTACGTAACTTTACCGAAAGAACCAAAGAGTATAATTTTATTTCACCAGGTCAGGCCCCACCAAGCCATGTAGCGCATCTTCTTGGTTCTTTCGGTAAAGTCACGTAGAAGGGAAATAATAAAATAATAAAAATTTTACATAATAAAATAATTCTCACGACGTTTCGGCCACAACGCAAGCAGCCGTCCTCAGGTCTGTCCCTTCTACGTGACTTTACCGAAAGAACCAAGAAGATGAATCCCTGCAGTCACGAAAGCTTTAAACCATGTAGCGCACTTTCAGAATCGACCTGGCTATCACAAATCATAGTAGCCCATCATCATCATCACCACGTGGAAATGTATAGCAGCAGTCAAATACTCCGAAGGCACGTCGATTTTAAGCGCGGAGGGAAACAGCGACGGATCTGGAGAAAACTCCACGTGATCACCACGGAGAGACACGCACAAATTACAAATATACAACTTGCGTCAGGGTCATGATGGAACCCACGACCTCCCGCGTACCGGGCAAGGTAGATAACATCTCGGCCAAATACAGGCATCGTCAGGGTCGGGATCGAACCCACGACATTCTGCGTACCGGGCAAGGTAGATAACATCTCGGCCCAATACAGGCATAGTCAGGGTCGGGATGGAACCCATGACCTTCCGCATACCAGGCAAGGTAGAAAACATCTCAGCCAAATACAGGCATCGTCAGGGTCGGGATCGAATCCACGACCTCCTGCATACCAGGCGAGGTAGATAACATCTCGCCAAATACAGGCATCTTCAGGGTCGGGATCAAACCCACGACCTTCCGCATACCAAGTGCAGAAGTTAACATCTCAGCCAAATGCAGGCATCGTCAGGGTCGGGATCGAATCCACAATCTCCCGCGTACCGGGCGAGGGAGTTAACATCTCGCAAAATGCAGGTATCGTCAGGGTCGGGATCGAACCCACGACATTCTGCGTACCGGGCAAGGTAGATAACATCTCGGCCAAATACAGGCATCGTCAGGGTCGGGATCAAACCCACGACCTCCTGCGTACCAAGCGAGGTAGTTAACATCTCACCAATTACAGGCATCGTCAGGGTCGGGATCGAACCCATGACCTTCCGCATACCAAGCGCGGGAGATAACATCTCAGCCAAATACAGGCATCGTCAGGGTCGGGATCGAATCCACGACCTCCTACATACCAGGCAAGGTAGTTAACATCTTGCCAAATGCAGGCATCTTCAGGGTCGGGATCGAATCCACGACCTCCTACATACCAGGCAAGGTAGTTAACATCTTGCCAAATGCAGGCATCGTCAGGGTCGGGATCGAACCCACGACCTCCTGCGTACCAGGCGAGGTAGTTAACATATTGCCAAATACAGGCATCGTGAGGGTCGGGATCGAATCCACGACCTCCTACATACCAGGCAAGGTAGTTAACATCTTGCCAAATGCAGGCATCGTCAGGGTCGGGATCGAATCCACGACCTCCTGCGTACCACCAGGCGACATAGTTAACATCTCGCCACCGCGGTGGGTGGCACCCTGAAAGAGCAGCTGATACACACAAACACAATGTGGCGGTGGAGACTGTTGCTGCTGCTGCTGCTGCTGCAACTCACTATGAGGGCGGCTGGCGTCTTGACTCTGGGCGGCTGCACCTAGGGAGCTCCTGGGCCAGGCGAGACGGGGGAGAGCATCAGGGCTGCAACGGCGTATGGGGGGGGAGAGAGGCAGGGCAAGATCGAGAACAGGGATGAGACCGGGTCGCAGCAATAACAACCACCAGCACAGTCAACAACAGCAGCATCATCATCATCACCACCACCATCATCACCAGCAGCAGTTGCATCACCAGCATCACCACCAGCTTCGCGACCACCACCAGCATCATCATCAGCATCATCACCAGCATCACATCACCAGCATCATCACCAGCATCACATCACCAGTATCACATCACCAGCATCATCACCAGCATCATCACCAGCAGTAGCATCACCAGCATCACCACCAGCTTCGCGACCACCACCAGCATCATCACCAGCATCATCACCAGCAGCAGTAGCATCACCACCAGCATCATCACCACCATCATCATCACCACCATCATCATTACCACCAGCATCACCACGAACATCCCCACCAGCACCACCACCAGCACCATCACCACGACCACCACCACCACTCTAATTATCACCAGCACCATTAATTAGGATAACGCTCCCCTGTAAACTCTTTGATTCTTTCGGTAAAGTCACGTAGGTCGAAAAAATAAAAAAATAAACAATACATCACGGCGTTTCGATCGCAACACAAGCCGTCGTCATCGGGCAGAAAAAAATAACCCAGCAGTGGAACTGCTGAACCGTGCAGCCTTAACAGACTGCTGGACAAATGGTGTTAGCGAGCACCTATGAAGGACAGCACGGCTGACGAGAGGGCGGGTGGCCAACACCATAACCACCTTCATCTCCCGAGTGGCGATGTTTACTACACACCGCACCGCACCGGGTACTTATTTGAAGCGGCTTCGGCCTAGGGGAGAAGCAAGGCAGGTTCAGATAATTGTCAGCGGTGTTGGCGGTGATGGGGAATCGAACTCGGTCCGCCAGGTACGTGGCACAACGCGGCGACAACCACTACACTACCACTCTCCGCCGATGTCCACACACACACACACAGACGACGTTCACGCGCTGGGCACCCCGCTTGGCCATTCTCTGTTGGCTAAGAGCCAATCTGTCTCTCTTCCTTTCCAGCAGCAGCAGCAGCAACAACAACCACCGCTGCTCTGAGCAACGCACTGGCGATTAGAGGCCAAAAATAGTAAGTTTCAGGTATGTTGCACGTATGTACGTTGGACTTCTCTCTGGCATCGTACGTAGGCGACCGCGCTAATCAGAGGTACGGGGAGGGGGGTAACAACAAAGTCAACACAACCAAGAATAAGCAGTCGGAAAGAAATTCGTTCGTCAATATAGATGAGTTCGATTTAAAGCTTTCGTGACTGCAGGGATTCATCTTCTTGATTCTTTCGGTAAAGTCGTCACGTAGAAGAGAAATAATAAAATAATAAAAACATAACATAATTAAATAATTCTCACGACGTTTCGGCCACAACGCAAGCAGCCGTCCTCAGGTGAAGAACAGGTCTGTCGGAAAGACAGCGTCTGAACAGGTCTGTCTTTCCGACAGACCTGTTCTTCACCTGAGGACGGCTGCTTGCGTTGTGGCCGAAACGTTGTGAGAATTATTTTATTATGTTTTATTTTTATTATTTCCCTTCTACGTGACTTTACCGAAAGAACCAAGAAGATGAATCTAGATGATGATTTAAAAGTGGAACAGCTCCCAGTGTATTCCTAATATTGGAAGGAAGAGCGTTTCAGACCACCAGCAGAAGCCCATCTGAAAGCACACGATGCATTGTGTGAGTCCATGGGGTCTGTGTGACGAGTCTATGGGTCTCTGCGTGACGAGTCTATGGGTCTCTGCGTGACGAGTCTATGGGTCTCTGCGTGACGAGTCTATGGGTCTCTGCGTGACGAGTCTATGGGTCTCTGCGTGACGAGTCTATGGGTTTCTGTGTGACGAGTCTGTGGGTCTCTGTGTGGTGAGTCTGTGGGTCTCTGTGTGGTGAGTCTGTGGGTCTCTGTGTGATGAGTTTGTGGGTCTGTGTGGTGAGTCTGTGGGTCTCTGCGTGATGAGTCTGTGGGTCTCTGTGTGATGAGTTTGTGGGTCTCTGTGTGATGAGTCTGTGGGTCTCTGTGTGGTGAGTCTATGGGTCTCTGCGTGATGAGTCTATGGGTCTCTGCGTGATGAGTCTATGGGTCTCTGCGTGATGAGTCTGTGGGTCTCTGCGTGATGAGTCTATGGGTCTCTGCGTGATGAGTCTGTGGGTCTCTGTGTGATGAGTCTGTGGGTCTCTGTGTGTGAGTCCATGGGTCTCTGTGTGATGTGTCTATGGGTCTCTGTGTGATGAATCTGTGGGTCTCTGTGTGATGAATCTGTGGGTCTCTGTGTGATGAGTCAATGGGTCTCTGTGTGACGAGTCTGTGCACCTTAATGTATGTACGTATGTGAACTTCTTTCGCAGGCGTACGTAGCCAACCGCGCGAATCCGAGGTGCATGGAAGGACAACAAACTAAACACAACAACAACAGCAGCGCTGCAGTAACGAGTTTTCAAGAAATGACTTTTCAATCCAGATGACGATGATCCGCCACTTCCAGGAGCCAACATCATTTGTGATGGCACTGGGGCAGAGGTCGCAAACGGGTTTTGATTCCTTACCCGTACCCGGCCGCACCAGGGTCGCAAATGGGTACCCGTACCCGGCCGGGTACAGGTACCCATTCCCTACCCGTACCGTACCCGAAATGAGTGACAAACGGTGACTCACTAGTGACACACGGCCTACCCGTACCCGTACCCGGCCGCACCAGGGCCGCAAACGGCTACCCTTACCCGGCCCGGTACGGGTAGCCGGGTATCGGGTAGGGTACGGGTAGGGTACGGGTATCGGGTACCCGATTGTGACCTCTGGGATGAAGCCATGTTGCAGGCGCGGGTGGGTTGATTCTAGGAACTTGAATTGTGAGAAGAGACAAGACGTTGGGAAATGAGTGACAAACGGTGACTCACCAGTGACTCACGGCCTACCCGTACCCGGCCACACCAGGGTCGCAAACGGCTACCCGTACCCGGCCGGGTACGGGTAGCCGGGTATCGGGTATCCGGTTGCGACCTCTGCCCTGGGGTCGCTTCTTAAATAATTGAGCTACGACAGAGCGGGGGGGCATTACACCTGGCACAACGCAATAACAGCGTAGCTTGCTTCGAGTTGAATATTAACAGCACTGACCCAGCGTGGTGAAGTACGGCCAAATAACCCCCACGGGACCCCCCCGCCCCCCTCCCCCCACGCTGGCACGGCGAGGCCTCCTTCCAGAACAGTCGATGGTGGGGCATTACGGGCGTTTTAGGTGACTGGCTGATTAATTAACCCCCCCACAATCCCTCCCCACTCCTACCCCCCCCGCCAGTCTCGTGAACGGGAGTTAACGCTGAAACAGCCTCTACCCCCTTGCTCCCAAACCCCTCTTACACACCCACCCACCCACTCACCACCCACCCCCATTCGCATATTTTGAAAAGCGACCCCTAGCACCCAGCTGGCTCTTACGTAAGGTCTTAGCAATGCGAGCGTGAGTTGGTATGGGTGTCCGTGTGTGCGAGTGTGTGTGGGTGTCCGTGTGTTTTGGTGACTGTGTGAGTATCCGTGTGTGTGTGAGTGTCCGTGTGTGTGAGCGTGTGATTGTGTGTGCGTGTCCATGTGTGTGAGCGTGTGATTGTGTGATTGTGTGATTGTGTGATTGTGTGAGCGTGTGATTGTGTGATTGTGTGATTGTGTGATTGTGTGATTGTGTGATTGTGTGATTGTGTGATTGTGTGAGCGTGTGAGCGTGTGAGCGTGTGAGCGTGTGAGCGTGTGAGCGTGTGAGCGTGTGAGCGTGTGAGCGTGTGAGCGTGTGCGTGTGAGCGTGTGAGCGTGTGAGCGTGTGAGCGTGTGAGCGTGTGAGCGTGTGAGCGTTGAGCGTGTGAGCGTGTGAGCGTGTGAGCGTGTGAGCGTGTGATCGTGTGATCGTGTGATCGTGTGATCGTGTGATCGTGTGATCGTGTGATCGTGTGAGTGTGTGATTGTGTGAGCGTGTGAGCGTGTGATTGTGTGAGCGTGTGATTGTGTGATTGTGTGATTGTGTGAGCGTGTGATTGTGTGATTGTGTGAGCGTGTGAGCGTGTGATTGTGTGAGCGTGTGAGCGTGTGATTGTGTGAGCGTGTGAGCGTGTGATTGTGTGATTGTGTGATTGTGTGAGCGTGTGATTGTGTGAGCGTGTGATTGTGTGAGTGTGTGATTGTGTGAGCGTGTGATTGTGTGAGCGTGTGATTGTGTGAGCGTGTGATTGTGTGAGCGTGTGATTGTGTGAGCGTGTGAGCGTGTGATTGTGTGATTGTGTGATTGTGTGATTGTGTGAGCGTGTGATTGTGTGAGTGTGTGAGCGTGTGATTGTGTGAGCGTGTGATTGTGTGATTGTGTGATTGTGTGAGCGTGTGAGCGTGTGATTGTGTGAGCGTGTGAGCGTGTGATTGTGTGAGCGTGTGAGCGTGTGATTGTGTGATTGTGTGATTGTGTGAGCGTGTGATTGTGTGAGCGTGTGATTGTGTGATTGTGTGAGTGTGTGATTGTGTGAGCGTGTGATTGTGTGAGCGTGTGATTGTGTGAGCGTGTGATTGTGTGAGCGTGTGATTGTGTGAGCGTGTGATTGTGTGATTGTGTGAGCGTGTGAGCGTGTGAGCGTGTGAGCGTGTGATTGTGTGATTGTGTGATTGTGTGAGCGTGTGATTGTGTGAGTGTGTGAGCGTGTGAGCGTGTGAGCGTGTGATTGTGTGATCGTGTGATTGTGTGAGCGTGTGAGCGTGTGATTGTGTGATTGTGTGATTGTGTGAGCGTGTGAGCGTGTGATTGTGTGAGCGTGTGATTGTGTGAGTGTGTGAGTGTGTGAGTGTGTGTGTGAGCGTGTGAGCGTGTGATTGTGTGATTGTGTGATTGTGTGATTGTGTGATTGTGTGAGCGTGTGAGCGTGTGAGTGTGTGAGTGTGTGATTGTGTGAGCGTGTGATTGTGTGAGCGTGTGATTGTGTGAGCGTGTGATTGTGTG